AATGTACTAGGACAGCTCTAATTGTACTCCAAATGCAAGCTAAAAAGCTGGAAAAAAAGGAGACAGAGCTTGCTGGGGAGAAAGTAACAGAAAGAATGTAGATCGATACAAATTCTAATAGTCTCATATCGATTGATTGGCAGGTGCTAATGCTTGATTTGAAGTGTGCAAAGTTGACGTGAAAAGTCCAAATTTGTCATTTTATTGTACATGCGTATTCCAACCTCCAAATCAATTAAATTCGAACCCCAAGAAACTTGCGATTTCGCAATGGTTTCCTCTGGGCGAGTGAGAATTAGAACTGCTCAGAGCATTGCGAAAAAGTTGATAATGTGCACGAACTTCATGCAAAATTGTAGCTCTTATCAAGTCGTTGATTGTTAATTGTTAATTAACTCACATTTACGGGGTTCATAACTTTCTCGGATTGAAATCAATTTTGACCTAAGTTTCAAGAAGGAGGAGCACCCCAACAATTCTTGGAACCGACTAATTAGTGGTTCATTTTTACGAATTACTGTTTGCGGCTCAAGCAAAAGTCGAAAGCTTCGATGATGGCATAAGTAGTCTTACGATACGATTCCATTTTTTATAGTCTTAGATATAGATTCGGTCATTCGTTCGCAGCACAACTGATTCTAGAAGAGGATCTTGAAAACTGTAGAGACTCAATAATACATGCACTATCACACATAGCCAGAATTGCCAAGTGGAGAAAACAAGTTTTGGAAGAAGCTTGAGAAATAGAGGGAATATACTGCCTAGATTTTCTTACTCTAGATCAAAATGAATTGCAGTGTTTATGGCCAGGAAACAATTTGTTAGGGTTCCTCTTTGAGGAGTTCGATAACCAGAAATATAGAACCTGCGACTAGATCTTTCATATTGGCTGCAAGATATATCATCTAGGATTGAAAAGGTAAGGTTGCGATGAAAAATGCTTGAATAGATTGCAAGTTTAAGTTGGAAACGTAACCGTTTGTCAGATTCACTTTTAAAGGAGTAAGGGAGAGCGAAAATAATGAGACTGGAATGAATTAGTGTGGGTTCAAGTACGAGAAGCAAGTCAACGAACATCTATTAACATACATATCAATGGTTACGAAAGCTTGCTTTAAGCTACAAATCTAGCTACCTCATCTTTTTTTCAGTACCTAATCGGTTCAAAGCCTAAAACTTTGCAGAACCATATTTGCGCTAGAACTCAAGCGGAACTATATCGCTGAGATGACTTTATTGGCCGAAGCCTCATCGTCATTTTATTCTCATCGCTTTGTGCATCGAGAATAATAGGCTCATTTGGATATGAGAACGACCTTCGAGTCCGGCTACACTTTCAGCGTCATTAGTAATTTTATGCTAAAAAGGGACAATAGCTGGAAGTCTGAAAGATAGCTTGGGAACGGAGCTGGGTAAGTGAGCAAAATGTGGGTTTAATAAAAAAGCAATGACCATATCGGAGACCACCTGGTGTAAATGTTTATTATCGGAAGTTTCCTAAAATGTTGCATTTAGCCAAAGCACTGCTTCAAAATGAATGCAATACTATCTCACTTCCGTGAACGTAATTTGAGATGATGAACTAGAAGGGAAATTTAAGAAATCGAGGTTTTTGCAACGTTTCATGCAAACAATCCGAAAAGCAAAATTTTGTTTGAAGATTAAGATTTTAGAAAGTTTGATTTTTTTACAACAATGTTTTTTGTTTAGTGTAATTGTTTGTTTGCAGGTTCAAGCAATAACTAAACCACAAATGTTTACAATAGCAACACCTAATAAACATTCTAATGTAAGAGATGTTGACAACAAAAATTCACCTGTCACTTATTTATTTAAAATTTGCGATGCTGATCCTACGAATAGAAAAAGGTAGGTTTGCTATTTGTTGTTGATTTTCGTATCTATTGAAATAAATACAGTGACGGAAAAGCAGAAAATGAGACTTGGAAGTTGATATAGTCACAGGAGATTTTCAGAAACTTTATCATATTTCAATTTATCTGACAACACCTACTGAAAAATAGCAAATCTTGTATTTGGATCCTCTCTTATGAGGCGAATAAGTGAACTACATAGAAAGAAGACAATCGATCGATCAACATCTTACTGGCAATTAGCCTCAGCAATCTCAAAAAAATTTACAAATATTATCAAAAATGTCAAAATGAGCAGGAAAACCTAAAAGAGAAGATGCAGAACGGAGGAAATGTTAAATCCTTGGCTGGGTTTGCACGAAACATCATTCAAGCGTGTTTGAGCCGTTTATTGTTAGTTACATTTCGGCTACGGAGCGGATAGCTGTGGAGCTCGTTAGCTCATACTGGTTGTGCTTTACTTTATCTGATTATGATTGGATGTAAAAAAATGCAGTAATGCTTGTTCGAACTGATATCAGGCTTGTATTTGGTGTTTCAGGGGAGTTTTCCTCAGGGCGCGGCACGAGCTGGCACCAGTGAAATTTCAAAACGAAGTCCCGTATGAACTTAAAAAATTTAGTGCGAAGTCCCTTCGACCTGTTTTGAAGACCCGTCATTATTTTTAGATTATGTAAAAGTATGTAGCAGGGTTTTCATGCATGCTGATTTCAAGGAACAACTTTTCACAGCTTTCTGAGCTTTTTAGGTAATTGAATCACATCTTGAGAAGCAAAAAAACCCCATATTTCGACTGCGGAGCAGAACGAGTAATTTTCAGATGACCATAAAACGCTGAAAAGAAAACATTGTGAAATTGTTTCTTCTCTGTATGCAAACTTTTACAGTGTAGATACATTTTATGTAAAAAAGTATGAAAACTTATGTGAGCAAGTGTCGATGCCAGCTCAGCTGGCACCCAGCTGGCACGGTGCCAGCTAATTCAGAAAAAATTCAGCACAGCTTTCATTCACATAATTTTCTATAAATTTTTGGACCATAGTTCGGGTCCCTCAACGCGCATGCAGCGCGCCAAATTTGGTGTCATACTACTACGTTTTTGCTGAAAGCAACGCCTTCGTTTGTTTGATGGACAGCATGCCGGCGACATTCTTGCGGCTCTACTCCACCCCGGAAAAACGATATCCCCTTGCTTTCATCCCTAAATACGATAACCAGCTTGACCCGGTGCCAGCTGTGTCGAGCCCTGGTTTTCCTGCAGAAAATAGGAGGAACGCTGCAAGAATTCATTTGACATGGGCTTAAAGAAAGGAACAGTTCAGGAATGAAGCCATGCAAGATAGAGGAAAAACGCAGTTCTGATTATATCTTTGTTAAATGGGTATCAGTCAACAAGGTAAGCTCAACTTTCATCATAAACAGGTGTTTTTAGATGAGAAGGAAGTTAGAACGATATCACGTGCTCATTATGAAAAGCAGAACAAGTTTGAATAGTATTTGGATGGATGTATTTTAGGGATTGCGAGCACGTTGAAAAGCTCCATGTAATTTTTTCTACTAAAAATGCTGACATTGTCATCATTGGCATGCAAATTGTGCCATTGGGCACAAAAAAGCTCCGCTAGAAAAGTGAGTTTCCTCGCGTAAAAAGTTTCTGCAAGTGTTTCTCGAAGTGGTAATACTATAATTATTGGACAAAGATTTGCAATGCTGTAACAAACAATAAAAAAAAGACAAATTTGCGAAAAATTCGATTTTGAGAAGTTTTGAGTTGCTTTTTTACTGCATGGTTTCACTGTAAATATGTACGTGTTGTAGTAAGGACAGTTTTTAGTGCTTCCAAGGAAATGTCCAGGCACATCTGGATATCTAACCTTTATTTGTGAAAGACCTTCAATAAATTGCTTGACTCATTGCTTTTATGATATTCTTGGTCCAGATATTTAAATCGAAATTCTGGCTAAATCCGTAAATTTCAGGCGAACCAATCAGAGTGCTCTATTACATTAATGGGCTTAAGTCTACAGTTCTATTTCTCGTACACGAATGAACTATGGGTTGCTGTTTATGCTTGTCAGTAACAGTGAAGTAACAGTAGTGGCTTAGTTAAGGCCTTCAGATATCACAAAGTCCACTTGCTAAGATTTGCCCGATCGAGATCCAGAACATTCGGATGTGCCTGACATGGAGTAAAGGTAAATAGTAGATATGACATATGATACATCTTGTTGCTATCTTAATGAAAAGTTGTTTAGGGCTAGCCATTTTATATTTGTCAAAGATATAACCACTCATTTCCTTCCAAAATTCAAAAAAGACTTGTGAAGGTGTGAGGGTAAAGTTGATTTGAGCTGTTATTTTGGGCTTAACATAAATCAGTTTGAAGAAGACATGTTCTTGGACTGTCAAAAGTCAAATAGCCTATATGCATAGGTCTGAAAAAAACACCAACAAGAATCTTTTTGAATCCAGCACTGCGTTTTTTTTTTCGAGATTATTCTTTACATGAGAGTGGGAGAGAAGCAGCGGAGCGACATTTTTCTGAATAGAAGTTGTAAAGAAATTGTATCCAATTACAAACATAAGACAAATTATTAGAGTTTTGAAAAGAAAAAAGCTCTGCGGGTTGTAGGTAGACTCATGACTTGGACTTTATGCTAAATTATCGCCTTTTTGTTTCACTCTTTCCTAGGAGTTCCCATGCATCTTGCAAGCTTTACATAAGAAAAAGAGCTATATAATATAGTCCGTATTTTATTATATCTATAAAAGAAATGGTAAGGCAAAAAACATCTGAGCAAAGTGCATTCACTGAATGTGATAGAAAACAAACAATAAAGGGGCAATGTGAATGAGGACAGAAGGATAAAATTAGTTATAAAATGCCTATAAATGGAGAAAAAAAACAAAAGCCTGAAAGGAGATTGGTAGGAAATTTCTTCATATGAGTAGATCAACGAAAATACGTATAATAAAAATTACCACAACACATGTCACAACATCAAATAATTACTATAAAGTTGTGCTTCGAAGAAATCAGAAGTTAAGTTTCAAAAATAAAATTTAGTGAGCTCTGTGACTGAGATATGAAGTGATGATTGGTAGTAAAATTTTAAAAAGAGTATCTTACAATGTGGTAAAATTTTTTATGTTATAAGGTCCATCTTCAGTGGCTCGAATTCTCTGCAAGAGCTGTTCACGCGCCATGTTACGATAAAAACTCTCTGAAGGCATTGTTGTCAAATTGTGATTCAATTTCTTCTTCTGCTGTCGTGCACATCGATGTAGTTCTGAGTTTGGCACGAATCGCTCTGATTTTGTCCAGTAGAAACACTTCCGTTTCTTATGATATGTGGTTGGATCTTGAAAACGTCCACGTTTGTTGAAACCTGGAAAAAAATGCGATAAATATATACCACTTGACTGTTGAATTGCCGTACCAAGGAATAGGCCAGGTTCCCAAGCGGATTCAATCTCCGTGTAACCTTGCTCATTTAACCGTTCGATGAAGAAACATCTTATATTGTCACCTTCAATCTGAATGGTTTATATAAATCTGGACAGTATGATGTGCTGAACAATAGACATTATTTATGGTTAAATAATTTGAAGAAATCTAGATTGAATTTGCATCATTCTTTTTTTTTGTACAACACACTGACACAGCGTTTCTTCCCTAAAAATCTACGCAAATTTTTGTAGGAAAAAAATAGGTGGTGCGTTACTCATTATATGAAGAATTGCGAAAATTTACCCCATGATTTAACCGGACTGGCGGCTAGAAGGCGACCGCTCGCATCCGCAACGCAGTCTTTGTCTCTCCCGCGAACGTACTCTTTGATCATTTCCTAGCCTGATTAGGCGTCAAGGCCCCGCCTTCCAGCCACCAATCCAGTTTAAATAAAAAGTACATCACATTCATGGTGTATTTCATAGTGTCTCTTTCAGCTATGATAGGAATACTGTAGGTGTACGGTAGGTGTACGGTAGCTGCACGGCTACAGTGTGCACATTCCGCATCTTATACTACCTTTTAGCAAAGCAATGCCAAAATCTTCTCAGTGTCAAGCGTTAGACAGCACGAATCTCTCGCGTGATTTGATGTTTGATATAAAAAATATGGTAAAATATGTGTACGGTAGGTGTACGGTCTCAATATGTTCACTCTTGAAAGCTACAATCATTAGAAAGAGAATGCCTAAACTTCTTTGGTGTCATGTAAGGTACGGCTAAAAACTCGTGTTTGGGTGATACAAATATCGTACAGCAGGTGTACGGTAGGTATACGGTATGAATGTGTGCATTCTGACACATCTTCCTGATAAAAGGCGATTGCCAACTTCTTGATATCAATGATAGATAGCTGGAATCTCTGCGTTCACTGAATGGAATAACAAATTCAGCTCCAATTTTCTTCAGATCTCAGCGTGTGATACATATTTTGACAAAATCATCGGTTACAAAACGCTTAAGCCCCGTTAGGACGAGTTCGTCGGAGCGCATCAGCGCAATCGCTGCCGTTGCTTCTTGCGTCGGCATTGTGCGGATGCCGACAAATTGGCCGTCGAAAAACGAGTGTTCGGAGCGCGAGGAACACGGCGTGTGCGTGCGTCCTTCTCTATGACTTTCTTCAGTACTACAAATCGCGCTCTAATGTGATGTTTTTAACCACCTATAATAAGCACATCTACGCTAATATTTTCGCGCCGTTATATGCATATAATCAACGGGTTGCATATATGTCGAGGTCTTTCTTCTTCGCTGCCGATGCGCTGCGGATAATCCGCGCGCGTCGGCAGCGTACAATCGCCGCCGGACCGCCTTATGGATTAAGATACCGTAGTGTAGATATGATGGCGGTAGATAAAGACAGAGATAACGGCTTAAGTCCACTCACACGTACAGTCACCCGTTTCCGTCGATTGAAACACACGTACTTTCTTGATTGGGCGTGCTGGAGCTGAAGCATACCCAGACGATTCACTTTGACATTAAAGTCAGCTGAAATACACAGGTATAGTAATGGAAACGAGGCCAGATTCCCAGAAGTACTTCTTAGCAGACTCGCTCAGTAGCAGAAACTAAAATTTTGAAAAGCTGAACAAGTTACAGTTTTTGTAAGTAGTATATTGAAGTTATGAATTGAAGTTAAAATTTTCTGGAAGGAGACTGTATTGAAATTTTATGAGCAAACTCCGCTCGTAAGATCTAAATCATAAATCTTCGAATCATAAATTTCGTACTGTATTTCATTTTCAATGATATGAGGAACATTGAGGGCAAACGTAACAAAGGCGAAATGCTGCGGAACTAGAAAATATGGCTATGAAATAAAGATGAAGTGCTCTTTTGAGATGTGAAGGGTTTTTCTAAACCATCCAAAGTGGGTTTTTCTCAAAATGCAAGTAAATGAGACATCTAACAAGTGAGAACATAAATTTTCGAAGTCTGAGTTTTGCAACTATGTTACTCGAAATCATTATTACATTCTATGCGTTATTTCCATGTGGAAGACTGTTCAAGTAAAAATGCTTAACAGCCTAATTTTCAATGTAGAGTTTAGTATTTATAAATAAAAGAAATCTAGTCAATAATTCGAACTGAGTCGTTTGCACATTCCTCACAATTTGGGTATAGAGGATGGCTACCTTTAATAAATTCAAGCAATAATGCAGATTTTTTGAGCTTTTTTTTTTCAATAGAAGGAGTTTCATCGGTCTAAAACTACTACAGGGTGGGGCAAAAGTCTGGGAGCCTACTTTGCAGTGCTGTAAATCAAGAAACTACCGACGATTTTGACTCCAAATTTGTGCCACATGTTGCTGCGATCATCCTCTACAAAACACACTTTGGCTGGCTGAAAATGCTTGCTATATGTTTTTGTAGGAGTTGGGTTTGTCAAACAAGTGCTCTGCAAAACGAGAAAATAGAAATTTTTGTTCTTCACAACTTATTTCGTAACTAACGATACAGTAGATATTCTAGAGCACTTCGATGCGTATAATGTAGAGGAGACTTCGCGCTATCAATTCTTAGCCGTTGCGTTTGTCAGATAGTATTCTTTTGAAAACGCAAAATAAAAATTTGTGTATACTACCTGCGTGCCAGCGGCCATTTTTCTTTAAAATAAATTTTAAAGCTATAGGAGCACAGCAGGCACCGAATTCTAGGCTATATTCTTTCCATGAGTCTTCTATGCAAGCATGTACTTGAGTTCGATCGATCAAGCAATTTCAGTATTTTTTAGATTACGATTCTTCGCTCCCGTTCTCGCAATCGCAACCAGATTTCCAGTATACAAGTACACTTGCCTTCAATTAAAATTCTAGAATTTTTTTCCTAAACCTGCGAAAAAAAATTTCTTTGCAGTGCGTTGTAGCCAAAAGCTTGCTCTCTCACACCGCATATTTGCCTGGTGAAATAAACAGTTATCGTAAAGGCGTGGGACGAATTTCATCACGACTGTCTGCGTGCCACGACAGGCGGACTCGCCAAGATTTCAAAGGGCTGCTTTGAAGACAGAAGAGGCAATCTCAAAATTTGAAAGCAGCGCTGTATTAGTAAAGGTTCGATTTATGTGTGCACCGAATTTTTTGTTCCTAGGCACTTTCCTTCTGATTTTATCTGAAAAAGTACTAGGCTCCCAGACTTTTGCCCCACCCTGTACTTTTTGCATGAAATCACACTTGCAGTTTTGAAAGAATGTGCTGCAAAGGTTTCTATGTGTCATTGTCGTCAATGGCCAATTCTGAGCTCCGATTTCGATATCATTGAAAGTTGGAATACAAATTCGAACACCAAGAGAAAACTTTTCCGCAATGCTTTTTCTAAACTCTACTTTCTTCTTTTCCGCTCTCGTCACCACGCCTTTTCTGTCTCAGAACTAGGACAGATTGATTGGTAGTTTCGAGAAAAAACCGAATTTGTGAACTGAGCTAAGACTGGAATAATTATGAGAAAGCTTATGAGGCTAAATAAACGAGTTTTTTTCGCATTTTTTACAAAAGATCTTTCTGTGCTATTGCTCAGGCCTTATCGAAACTCTCAGAATCCCACGCTTTGTTTATCTCAATCATATAGTGCATTTGCACAACTCTGTTTGACCATGAGCAGAAGTGAACTCCAAGAGGTTTGAGGTCACCGCTAGCTTCGGTTTGCACTTATGGACTGATTTTTACTGGCAAGAACTTGGATCTCAAAATATTCTTGGATTAAGAGGAAGGTCATAAAACGAATGTTATTGAATCAGTTAGAGATGTTGTTGCACAAGAGAAGCGACGAGTAAATAAAATATAATGGGAAGGAGAACGTTCAAAAGTGTGATCTAAATTATAAGTAAAGATACCTCTCAAAACATTTTTGTGAGAACACGGTGCATCATTAATTCGCTTTGTTCCTTCCCTTAGACAGAGGTTAAAATGAGTTCTAAGATTCCCGGAACTCCTCACTAAGGAAGGAAGAGTAAGAACTCATTTTAAGTCTGCCTTAGCAAGGTACTCTTACCGTTTTACTGGAAATTTTTTAAGAAATGAAATTTTATATGGCATCATTAGAGATGACAGAAATATAAATCGTTCATATATTTACTTTTATACGTCTTATAGGTGCTACAAATTTCCAAGCTGGTTTATAAACAAAAGACCAACTATTTATTTTACAAGGAGGTTGAAGATAAAAGGAAAGAAAACTTTGAGAGTTTAGCTAAGGTCCAGTTGGCTGTTACTGAGAATTTGATAAGCACTTAGATTTGAGATAGATATTGCCGAACATGACAGACTTGATGGAGTTAGTGTCAGATTACGATAGAATGGAGTTGGTACAAATGCAAGGAATAGTACAGACGTTTTTTTGAAAAATAAAACATTTCTTGGGATCTTGCAGAAGCACAAAAGTGTGTTTAGATTTGAAACCGGCTGCATTATTTTCAAATACAAAAAAATGCTAGTTGTCTTGTAAGTTATTCTACTCTCGCATTTGTGCACTTTCTTGGTAATGAACTTTTTTATATTTTATAACATCTCAAATAACTTGAGAAAACCATAAAATATAGGATGAAACTGATACTTGGTTAAAATAAATTTTTTATCAGAAATTGTTTCTTTTGTGAAATACTTTGCCATTGTGAATGAATTTCTACAAAACAATGGTAAATTCAGTTGGCTACCCATAGCACCTGAGCCCTTTAATAGTTCAACTTACACCGCGCTTACGAAAATTTGCATCGTTAAGTACTCATCAACTAGTTTTAAACAAAGCGAGATTGACTCTTGTTTAAATTAGTGACTCATTGCCGTTGATGAAGTGTATTTTGTTAGCAAATATGCTACGCCAGCACTTTAGGAGATGAGACCTTGAAAAAAAAGAGACGAAACTTACTGAGACATAATCTTAATGAGGATCCACGTGCATTGATATTTCCTAAATAGGTTTGAAGCATTGCATTACTGCAATGATTAAAAAGTTGCCATCGAGTCTCTCCAGTGCTCATTGTGAGACAATCAACATTGATAATGAAAGATAGAAGCAAGCTGCTGAAATGGTTAGAGTGAAAATTTGAATTTGGCGGTTATTGGGTATCATCGCTTACCATAACAATTTCAATTTTGTTGTAGACTCGAGCCGGATGCTCATGCTCTCACATCATCCTGGAGAAGAGGAGGCTAGCGTAGTTTGTGTTTTTGACGTAATATGACGCTACTCAAAACGATAAAAATGATGTCATGAATTGTTAAATAATTGAATGATCAGAAATGATGCTGATATAACACAATTCGTCAAGAGTAAGACATCTCTGAGTCAGTAGAATGTATTTGTATGGAATATGCAAGACGCGGACGGGGGTCTTGTCAGCGCTCGGAGCGCGCAAGACGAACTGCTCGTGCGCATAGTTTTGTCCGTCATTTACGCTCTGAGCAGAACAATAGACAGGAAAGGCAAGGAAGATGATAGCTACGGTTAGCTAAATACATTCGCAACAGTCATAACTGTAGATATAACAAGTATGAATAAAAATAAAAAAGTAAAGTGGTAATGATCGGTCCTTGCGCGAAGAGCTGCATAAACTCTTCACATAAATGACTGTAAAAATGGAAATAGAACTACCAAGTCATGTAGGCGAAGAAATGATACCTAAAAATTACTAAATGAGTTTTTCAAGAGTAATCCAAATCTTGATACTGAGAGAGACTAGATATTCTTGATACTGGAGAGGTACTTGAGAGAGATTGATTTTTGATCGAGTGATGGTGCAGGAAGATGGAAAACTCAGACTATAAAAATCTTGTCTGAACAAGAGCTATTTGAATTTCTAGAGTTTCGTATTTGCTTTGCTCAAATTCAATCATTCATTGGCCACTCTAACAGACCACGTGTTTATTTTACACAAAGCAGCCAATAAGTTAGTAGTTCATAGTTAGAAGGGTAAATTTTCTCTATTCGACTATTTATAAAACGAAAACATCGGAATTTTGATGCAGCCAGAATTATTCTTGCTGATTGTATCCTTTCCCATCCAACTCTCTGCTCATGCCAATATTGGAATTATTAGGTTCTTCTGGCAAACATATTAGAATACCTATTTTCGAACATGACTTTCTATTTTCAGACTCTTTTGCTGTTTGCTAATACAAAATGTACTTATTCCAAACTTTGTGTTGTTCGTTGAAACAGTGCAAAAAGGATGTCAGCGTCAGTTCTTTGAAGTACTTGAGCAGCACGCAAACTCACAGACTGAGTCATTGTGAGAATTCACAGCTCGTTGTTTTGACTAAGCACTTAGAAACTTCTTCAGCAAATTTTCGGACATGAAGATACTTTACGAGAATTTCATTGAAGAAAGCCAGATTTTGAATAAGATCAGGTTCTCTCATGTTGCTATGATTTTGCAAAAATTTTCTGCTGGTAAATAGTGAGCACATGACATCTTAGAGTCAAATTTGTATCGTTTCAAAGACACAAGAAAAAACAAAATATTTAAGAAATTGATACAATGTTCGTAATTATATCCTTTGGGTTTTGAAGAACAAGAAAAACTACATCATCTGCAAAGTGTTACAATTTTCTAATTCCTTAGACAAGGATATTTTGAATTATGCGGTAATCTTATAAGCTCAAAAATTTTTGATAGGAGCTCGGAAACAAAATTCTAGCTGTTTATTCATTTCTTTTACGACAGTGATTTTTGTAAGTCAAGAATGGACTTGTCCAGCGAGGATATTATAGCACTTTTTTGAACATGTAGTTTCCAGAAGTCTTAGTGAGTAATTACTAATCGAATGAAGGAGAAAGCCATATCGCATTTGCTTAGCACTAGTTGCATGATCAGCAGTTTTATGCTCCTAAATGTGGCCGAAACTGTCCATTTTGATTTTCAAAAGAAGTGAAATCATCTGTACAGCGGAAATTACTTGATCTAGATATGTACCAACGAAACGGGTGAAAAAAGAAATGACGTAGGATACAAATAAGTGAATGACCATCATAAATTAGATCGCTCCGCTCGGACTTGAGGTATTCGTCGTTGAGAGAGGCGCGTTAGAGCGATTTATGCGAGCCACCTGAGCGTGGGAAACCGACCTCACTTGGCACTTTATCAAGACCCGAAACCAATGGTGCTTTGCTGAAGTTAATTGACAAAGATCACTGTAGTGATACGATAATTATACGGTAATTTAGGGATCTAGTTGGGTAAACTGGAGCAGTTCAAAAATTATTGAAATGTCTGCGAGCTTTCCCAGAAGCGAAGTTACTGCAGGTTTTGCCTTCTTTCACTGAGAAGACTTACAATTCCGCTCAATGTTGGTATTTTGAAGTGCGGTGAAAACTGTTATAGTTAGTAGATCTCAATGCATTAGCTCATTTTCACTACTACATAGCCTACGAGCAAGTCATGACGAGAAGTATTTCTTTTTAAAAACTTCTACTTCAACCGACTATAACTTTCACCGAAGTCGATGGTTGAGTAGCAGGAATTTCTCACTTATAGCCGCAAAAACCACTTTCACTAATGGTTAAGTAGCAGGAAACTTATAGCCACAAATTACCAGTTTGATATTTACAAAAGTAACATGTGTAAACATAACGGGAAGTGAAAAATAAAACACGACGAAGGACATTGAGAAACCTTGCATAGCAGGGTCAAGGTGTAAATCTGATATGAATTAGGAAGATTTTGGCTGACAGTAGCTTCTTCAAATTGAGTTTTGCACTACATACGGAGAAACTAAATTTGATGCACATTATTTTTATGTTGTGACGCAGTGACTTAGAGATATAGGACAAACAAAAATGAATGTAAATTTATCAAAGTTAAATCGCCATGGGACACACTCATTCTAGACTTACAACATAGAAAATCGTTAGTCAGAAGAAGATAAATGGAACATATAAGATGTAGTCTACAGCATTCTCTTATAGGAGTCTCTAATAAATCATTCTACTCTCTTTTCTTCACTGAGAAGGAGAAGGATAGAAATGAGAGATAGCTCAGGGGAGGTATGGAACTGAGACCAATACGTAGATTAATTTTATTTTCCTTACAGTAAGATAATGCACAAGACTTTCAACTAGAATTGATAATCAACCAAAAAATCTAGCAAAAATAAAGATGTTGCATTTAGTGATATAAAAATTTTTTTTCTGTGGAGGACTAACAGTTCCAGAAATACAATGGGTGCCTAGGAATGCGACGGGTCGCGATAACTAGAATGCATATGATAGAGGCAAGTCTTGCTTCGATCTTACGGTAGACCACGGGCGGGGGGTGTCGATCTAACGACTCTATCGACGGCAATCGAATAATAAATAAATTACAATTGTGTGCCAATGACATACATTAATTCAGGATTTCTTACTCACATAACGAAAAGTTGAAAGCGTGTTTCAATTTATTCATGAGAAAGCCTAGACGAGTATAGAAAACAGCGCTGCAGCGTTTTTCTTCTCTTGAACGAAGACCTTTGAGTAGGCTGCAAACGGCAGTCAAAAACCTCCTTTTTCGAGGAGAGGGGGAGGTGGGGGGGGGGGGGGGAGGGAAGCTGCAGGAATATTACACTGCTTCTATGACGAGTTCAAAAAATTCAAAATTTACACAATTAGCTAATCGAAACCAAAACATCAAATCTCAAACAAAAGATCAAATGAAAGTTTTAGAAAATTCAAAGCTTAGCCTTTTTAGATCCTTACAGACTTCTCAATTCGCCCATTGTTAGCCTATTATCTATTTTTGAAATTTTTGTTTTGAAACGCCTGCTTTGGAGGGAATCAACGAATATCAAATCAGAAATGTGACACGAATGACATAAGCCTTTACCTATTACCATAGAGAGACTTTCAAAGGAAACTGGAGCTGAAATGTGAATTCGATACAACAGTGTTGATATTAACACAAATATCATTTTTTGATCTTCATTCATACAAATGTAAAATAAAAAGCTAAAAATGAAGAAAACTCAGGCAAATTGTAAGCAAGCACTTCAAGAAGTTTGAGGAACCTGCTTATCCTAATACTGTGGTTTAACGGCTAAGGAAGTCAACAATTGTATATAATTTAAACACTCGTTTTTCTTTTTTTATTTGTAGACGACATTTTTTTTCTACAATCGTTTTAATAATCTTCTGCTACTCTTATCTATTATAACTCTAGTCTGAACAGCTTCTTCTAAGATTCCTTTGTAGAATAAATCTTTTGCAGAGCCGATGTCAAAACCTTTTGCGAGTATTTCAAAAGATTTTACCATAGAAAAGCCAAATTTATCGGTAAGAGGTTTTCTTGAAAGAAATCTCCGAGCTGTTAAAGTATATATACGCATTCAAGCACGAATATGCACTCACTTATTCATTTATATCATAATTCATTTATTGGTACTATGTAAGGGTGTGGATTGACGGTCGAGCCTCAGGATGAGCGCGATTTAGACCAAATTTGAGGCAGAAAATAGGATAAATAAAAAAGAAAGCAAAACTTCAAAAAAGGTAAACAGAAATAAGTGTAAGGAAAGATAAGTGGCCTCTAAGTTTATTTACACATGGACAGTGGATGACGTAAATAACAAGCAAGAAGACATGATTCCTCGGATCTTTGGAATTAAAAGATAAAAATCAGCAATATTAGTCAACCTTATGTATCTATTCTGCATTGAGAAGCATTTGATTCAAGTCAGAATAGAAGAAGACTAACATGCAGGCTAGATTAGGAATACAGCGAGTTCAAAACTTACAGGTTTCCACAAAAACAAAACTAGCAAAGGGCATCTGCATAAAAACACGGCCAAGAAATGCCATTGATGGATTTACGCTACAGAGAGCCGGCGGAAACACATCGTAATCCGAACTCGATGGGTCGTGTAGGAGGCGGAACCGGCGAGAGGCGAACAAATCAACTATGCTATCGGTTGGCTTTGTTCCAAGAAAAATCCAAGAAAACTGGGATTAGTGCTTGAAAAAATGGGAAATGGACACGAGATGATCATAGCTACGCTAGGCCTAGATTCGAAGATTTAATTCCCGGAAGAGGCATGTTGATCAGAACATGGTCCTTTGCAGTGCTCTTAAACCTGTGTTGAAGCGGTAATTTTTTTAATTAATCAATTTTACAAGAATCTTACGCGGTAAAGGGTTAATCCTTGAGTTTT